AAAAAACCAAACATCATAGAGAACAGTCAAGGTTGTCAGTATTAAGACAAAGCATGTGTGGTAATGCACGTTTTGCTTCCTGCTGAGGCTTGTCAGAGTAACTACTCTGCTCTGAGAGGTGCAGGGCAAGTGGTGCAGCTTGCCAGCAATATACTGTGTAACTTTGGCTTAGAACAGTATAATAACACAGTCCATTTCCAGCAGCCAAGAAGGAGGGTTGGATCTGAACTTCTGGAGACCCTCTCTCACAACATGACATCAAACCTTGGCTTTAGGAGGGCATATTGGCCAGCAAATACACAGCTCTACTGCAGAAGCTGTTTAAACAGCTGTGTTCTGTCTTCTTGTAAAAAGGCAGTGACCTAGATGGACATCCTGTGGACATATCAGACATTTTTAAGGCCTGCAGAGCCACACTGTAATAGACGCCCTACAGCTTCTCTATGTCCTTCTCTATTGATTTAGATAGAACATTTGGTTCAGTTCCATGTAGTCAGAGACACCCTGTCTGAATTGTTCCTTTAGCAGCTGGGCAGATGGGTCTCTCTAAAAATACTTTCTATGCTTTCTCTAGGTGATAGGCCATATTTTCCAGCCACTGCAGTAAGGTCATGGACATCAGTCTATCCACCTCCCACCTCTCTAATGGGTAGCTCCTGCTAGTGCCCACCTCTACTACAGGGACACTTTATAGTACTCCAAATGCTCCCAGCTGAAACCAGTTTCATGGTCAGTCTTGACTAAAAAATAACAGAAAAAAAATTACCTTAAAACAGGAAAGAGTCCTAAATGTAACCAAAAAAGCATCACAAACGTCCATGTATAATACTTGGAATTAGTGTATGATTAGCTTATATTTTTGCTGTATTTAAGTGTTATAGAGGATAAATAATTAATCAATAATACCCAGTAGTCACTAAAACATCTCTGCACTGGATATGATCACCATCTATTAGTCAGCTGAACTGGATGGAAGAAATATTAATAATTTTTGTGAAACAGAAACATGGTATTTATCAAAGATATTATGTTGACACTGAAATCACAAACCCATAGCCAAAGGCCTGATCCTGGCAACAAACTTGTATGGGTGCAACTTCTGATCATTCCTATTAGTGAAAAGATCTTAATTATATTTTAAGTAAATACTTGGAAAATGTAGGAAATACAGAGTTGACCTCAAATTAGCAGCAAAATTGCCACTATTATCCCTAAATCCAGGTTTTAACCTACCACCTAGAAGTGGATTTGAATGCACTAAGATAACTGCTCCATAAATGTAAATCTCCTTATGAAGTGGAATGAAAAGAGTTTGAACTTTCTCTGCTAAGTTTGCCTGTGCACAGAGGTCTTTTATAATATAAATTTAAATACACAATCTGTTTTATAGTGTTTTCCATCATCTCCCTTCTCCATATGTTCTCCCACTAGGAATCTAATGAGTTCTACATGTGAGGGATGACAAGGGAATATGCCTGAGAAATAATTCCAGCAATTACAGCATATGGAGGCATTGTTTTTGAGTCACTTTTGCCATGAACATTAGGCAGAGCATCTGGGACCAAATTATGTCTACCTGCCCATGGACATTAGCAAAATCATCGTCTTCCATTTGTAAATTCTGCTGAGGTAATCTGACATACAGAAAGGACCATTTCATCAGCTTTATGATCAGAGAACATATTGAAACCCAGTCCATTTATAGTTAGAAAAAATGCTTCTCTTTAGAAAGAATAGTTTAAAATGGAAACTAAGATAAAATTATAGAAACATATTGTCTCTCTCTCTCTCTCTCTCTCTCTTCCCTCCTGTTTTCAGTTCCAGGCTACTATTTATTAAAAAACTTCTCTCATCATTACTGGAGTTTTGAAAGAACTGATTGGATTGCAGGACACAAGAAAATGACCAACAAAAAATAAAAAGAAAAAAAAATGCACTAACTCTAAATCAGTAATAACAAGGATTATATTCTCTGTGCTCAAATATGACAAGGCATCAGTAATTAATCATATGGAGGAAACAGACTGAAAAAAAACTACTTTACGTGGAGACACAGTGATTAAAGTAGTGTTCATTTTGTAAGTTCTGATTTAAATGCTAAGACATAAGACTGGAGATTCAAGTACACCTTCTGTCATGTTTGTTATGACAGTAAGGAGAAAAGAGTTCAAGAGAATCAACCAATATGCTCATATAAAGCAAACTTGCAATTCTACATATTCCTCATACTCAAGAAAAATGTCTTAGCAATGTGAGTAACATAAGTATTTTTATGTTTTCCCAGCTGTGCAGTTGAAGCAGTGAAAGCCATAAATCCCAAACTATAGTGACCTTAGGTTACCTCAGTATTTTAGCAGAAAAAAGAATGTCCCTGCTGTTATAAAGGATCTAAACCAAATTTTAAATTATACAGTTATAAACATAAATATAATTTGAAAAGCTAATATAGAACTTTAACTGTTAGGGTTACATATAAGCAATAATATTTCTGTTGCACAATTTATTTAATTTAGTTGGTCAATAACTAAATAACTAATAACTGGTTTTCAAATCTGAATGCCAGATTTATTTCAAGTCCTTCAGTCATGGCTGATATTGATGGGACTAGTGATATTTAATCAAAAGAATCTATTATCAAGGAATAACTGGATTTCACTTCCAATTGCTACGTAGCTTGTTGACCTGTATACTTGCAAAAGAAAGGGTGAAAATAGAGAGTAGTTCCTTTAACCATCCTGAATAGGGACTTGTCAACTTTAATGAATTTGCTCATTCAGACAAACTACACTGAAATCATCAAGGTGCCTTGCCATTTCTGTCATCTGGCTTTGGAGCAAGTACCAGAGACATGAGACAGACCTTTCCTACAACCCAGAGAACAGGTCTAAGGTCCTGCTGTCACCCCCACAGCCACAGGCTCAGGATGCTGACTATACCCCTGCTCTCCCATGCTGGATCCACTTCCCCAGACCCAGACCCAGAGTTACATCTCTGATGATGAAACCATACTACAGTTGTTTAACTTTCCTGGGATCCTATTCACAGCAGTCTGGTAAAGAATTGTCACTCCCTTACACAAGAGTTTCCAGTGTCACCATCAATGGCCCTCCTGCCAGATGGTCTTAAATTCGTTTTGGATAAAGAGACATTGACAACACTTGTAATCTCACCTATTAAAACAAAGTTGTGGGAAATTCAACCTTTTCATATAATACCTCTTCTGTAGTACAGATGAATATAGAACATACAAAAACCCAGCCATATTTTTGCTAAAATACTTGCAATGACTGTAAAGTACTGTCCAAAAGTTACACAAGCTCCTACAGAAAAAAGACCAAAGAAGTAATCTGAAAATATTCACTCATTCTGTGAAAGAATAAACAGAACGATTTATCAGGATACAAACTGTATTATAAAGACAAAGTGATTCAGAAATTCTTATTTTTCAATCTAAGACCACTGAATCCATGAGAAATCATTTTAATGGCATCAGATTGTTCAGGTGTGACAGGCTTGATGCAGGGCTATCTAATTTATGGCAAAAAGGAACTAGAAATTAAGGCAACAGTTCTCTTGCAAATCAAAACTGTGCTCCTTTTCCTAGCCAATAGATTGGTTAACAACAGATGTGTAAAATTTGAGGCATGAAGGAGGAGGCAGTCAATCAACAGAAAAGGATGCCAATTACATATTTCTGTTTTGTTGTTACAGACTTTCATGCATTACCTAGAAATTATAAAAGCCAGCAGTAATTATAATAAGCAAAAAAATCCCTGCATATATTTTTATGAAAGCTAACAAGTTAAAATACTTTATATCAGATTCTTTACATTCAAAAGAAATGTATCTGATACACTCTTAAAGCATAAAGTAGATTCTGAAAAAAACAGAGCTGCACTGGTTTGGTGAAGTACTGAAATGTTACACCAGTAACATCTTTAGGAAGAGTTGAAGGAGTCAAGATTTAAAAGATACAGGATAAATACAAAAATTGAAAATATATAGCACAATAGGTGTAGTTATCAGTAGTAACAGAGTTATCTGCAGCAGTGATATTTAAAGGATAACATTCATTATGACCAATAAACCACAAACAACAAAGATATAGACTTGAATATTTTTTAAGCTTTACTTTAGATTTATTTGATCTGATAATATTTTTTTCCTTAAGATTCATATCAGAATTCCTTTTGTGCTTTGTTGAACTGATCATTTAACTGTGAGAGGCATGAACAAAGCAATGATTTTTCTCTCCCTCTCAGTGCACTGCCACTTGGAACTGCAGAACTTCATATTCTGCAGTTCAGAGTTCTTGATGATTACTTAATTCAAAGAGTAGCATGGATTTCTCTCTAATCATAATGCCTGATCATTTTTGCAATCAGATTAAACAATCTAGAAAGTAGTATATAAGGAATAAATGATTAAATGAAGCAATTCACATGCCTACATGAATGCACATAGCTGATCCAGTCACCTGTAGTCCATTTCCAAAGGAGAGTTAAACCTGCACTGTGGATACCTGAACTGTGGTTCCCAGCTTGCTTCAAGGTGCACAAGCAGATCTGAGTAACTGGCTTTCTATTTTCTTTTAAATAGCTCCTCAAATTAACCTGAAACATTACTTTTTCAGGATTGTCTGCCATGTCCTGTTGCTACTTAAAACATCTAAATGATAATTTTTTAGGATTCACATTTTGTGAAGAAAAAAATAATTTTATTCAATCTGACCTGAAAACAGCAGTACACCCACCAGAATTTCCCATAGGTATCCACTCCTTTCAAAAAGGACATTTCAAAGTGCAGGAAATATTCTCTGCTCTACTGAAGAAATGTAGAGTTAATATAACCCTTGAGATTCTTATTCACTAAAAAATTATTTTGTTCCATGAGTAAACAGATATCCAATGTGCACATCCATACAGGGAGCTCTATTTTATATTACAATTTTATTCACTTGCTATGAATAGTCACAACATTAATCTACTGCAGAGAATCTATTCAGTATATTTGAAAATCCATTTATTTTCATTTATTGGTATGCATGTGCTACACTTGTATATAATACAGTATTTTCAGCGCTGTTTAGGAACAAGGAAACAAAGAAAACAAGTATTGAGAAGCATGATATAGATTTTTGACCAAATAGAGGTCATATTCAGATTTTACAAAACAGCACATTTACACTTTGCACTGTCCCAGACAACCTCTTTAAGATGCTACCTTCCATTCTGAACCTCTTAGCACAAATCCATAAAATACTAATCCATCCTAAAATACCAAGAGACCTAGTTTCTGCTACAAACAGTTTATTCTAATTAAATTTTAATCAGAAAATAAGATCTTTTTCTGTCAACATATTTTTTATTATGTCCCAGCAGAATGATAGAATATACTTCTCAATTTTATTCCAAACAGTCATTTATTTTATTTAAGCTCTCCTGTGCAATAATACAGCAGAGGTAATGAAATGGTTTTGGAGCAGCAGGGGCTACAGTGACAGGCAGAGCACGCCAGAGTGTTCATCCATCATGGAACTTAATATATAACTAAACTAGCCATGTCAATGGCTTGTGATGTTTAAACCATTTCCTTCTATTCATTTTTTGAGGTGTTTTTTGTTTGTTTGTGTGTTTGCTTTGTTTGGTAACCACACAGGACTTAAACAAGCTTACCTGTATGTATTTTTGACTACCATTAAGTCTGTGTGGCTTTCATTTCAATTCACCAAAGCAGACAGTCAGAACTCCCTCTAATCAGTATGTTTATGTAGTGTCACCAAAAGTAATTGCCAAATTTCTTTTGTATCAACATTACAGATGGTACAATATACATTAAATGAAGTATAAAATCATACATTCTGTAATAACTTAGAAAAAAGCTCAAAGATGCTTAAGGCCTTTAAATATTGAGGAATTTTTTTTTCATGTAACAACACATTGCAAAGTTCAAGAATTTCTAACAAAACAAAACAATCTGAATTGGATTACTGTAAGCAAGCAAAATAGCCATGAAGTGTAAAACTGGGAGAGCACTAGGACTTTTTTCCTTTATGGCAAACAAACTGAGCAGACATCTACATAAGCATCCATCAGTACTTAGGTTCAAGCAATAGATTTTATTTTTTAATAAAAAGACAAAAATTCTGAATGATTACCATCCAATATCATAATTGCAAAACTCATTTACATCCCTGCCTACCTTTATAAAAAAGGGATGAAATAGTGTAATTGACTGCTTACCATCAATTTAAATGAATTAAAGGTTAGGAAAGTAAAGTACATATTGGGAACAACCATTTCCTTTGAACTAAATGGAAATGTATATATTAAACACATAAAATGCCTTAAACAGAAGTGGTAATTGAGTTTTTGACCACTACTTTCTTTAACTGTTAAGCTGCAGTAGTTGGTTAGCCTTAGGGAAACATGTCAACCTGACTATACATTCTAATATGACTGATGTATTCAGATAACTATTACTTGTCAACAATAATTATTAACAATGGATATATAATTCCATTCCTATAACAAAGCAACTTCAAGATATTTAAATATGTACCTTTGAGAGCTGCAAGATTAGAACACAAATAAAAATGTCTAAAACTGCGCCATGCCAGAGGACAATTTCTGCAACAGAAATTTAATTAAAGCAGTGTGCAGTCCCACCAGCAATCTGAGCAGTGGACCAGGGATCATTTTAAAGTGAAGGATCCAATATATTTCAGAGGTTGACTTCTTCAAGATGAAAAGCCACTGATCTGCAATGGAGAACTCAAAAGTTTGCTGCTTTTCTGCACCTTTAGAATATTGGCTCATGATTACAGCTGCAAATTCCTCAGCAAGTGCAATTTTACAAGTGTACACAGTTCAATCAGTTGAAATATTTGTAACACAGAAGTTCAAAATAACTTTCCAGTAGTTTAGATCTCAAGGCTGCTGCTGATTACAAGCCAGGTTCTCATTGAAACAATTGATTCTGAAGGATACACCCCAGCAGTATAAAATTTCTCTTCAAGGATTGCCTGGAGGAATGAAATTCCTATGTGCTGTATTTAACGTTATCGGCCTTGAGACTGGTTTGATACGTCTTTAGCTATCGGGTTACCTGCAAGGAAAAAGAAAAATCAGACAATCAAAACTGGACATAGTGAATCTACTTCCAAAGTACCAGAAACTGAAGTATAAGATCTCTCACCAGCAAAGCTCTTTTGATTGTTTTTAAATAAGGGAATAAACCTCAATGGATTCGATGTCACTGCTCTCCTACTTAAATTGTGTGTTTAAGTGATTTGTGGGAATAGGATTTGACAAGGAGAAATTAAGTATGACCGTGCCAAAAAATATAAGAAAATTATGAATTTCCAACCCACAAATTTCTGTTTTCTGTTATTCTTTTTTTGTTGTGGTTAAAAATTCTGTATGGTAGCAACCATGTTTTTTAAATGTTAGCCACTGAATATATAGTGACTGATACTGGAGCTGTATTCTTCCATTCATTGCACGTGTCTTTACAAAACAACCATAACATCATAGAATCATTTAGGTTGGAAAAGGCAATGTCCTTTTAAGGGCTTATTTTATCTTAGCAAGCAATAATCACTTAGTGGAGAAACAGGACAGAGCTCATGCACAAGTTAACAAGAGATAGAGATCCTGTTATTCAAAAAGTAAAAAATTACCAAGGATTTAATTTAGAGTGGTTTCACCCAGCCTAACGTGAAACAAGAGGGTAACAGAAGAACCACAGAGAAAGAGTGGGGGACAAAGAATTTCACAATAACTGGGCTTTAACTGATTTGGATTTTAAACTTTAAAAGAAAAAAATCTGTCATATCAAAGAAACATAACTTTGAGGAATATTTCTGCTGTGTCAGTGGATACAATTAATCATCACATAACCTTTTAATATCAAACTATGTCAGGGGGAAACATCCCAAGGCTTGAGGAACAACTCATTGGAATGGTCACAACACTTTATGACATCAAGGGGCATATGCTTTTCATTTTGATCACAGAGAGAAAGGTCATGCTCCTTAATGATGAAACATTCTTTTGCCCTCAGCAAAACTGTTTGCATACAGCTCTTGTCAGCTCTGCAGAGCATAAACGCAGAACAAACAGAATATTAAACAGACTGTTCAAGGAGTTCATTACTTCAGTTTGCCTTCTCCACAGAGTTGTTTCTAGGAACTGCACTTAAGGCAATAATAAAATTGTGCTTCGTGATTTTTATGATACACAGGCTTATTTATTACACTGCTTTTATTTTGCCTTGGTCTTGCTGTTGGAAACAGCCTCATGTGGCCCCTTCTAAAGTGGTAGATTGCCTGAAAAAATAATAAAGAATTAATTTAAAAGTCAGGCAACATATTTCTGTGGCCTGCACTAAAGCTCAAAAGGCTGAGGCATCATCTTATTGTTATTTATTTTTTCGCTTTATTGTAGCAAGGTGGAATTCTACTCATGGAACCGGGTGCCACTGAGCTACACAATGTAAAATACACACCTTCTGATACTATCTGCAGGTGGAATTTTATTAGCTTCATTTGCAATACATATCTCTGTATCTATGTCTACCTTCCTGTCTATCCAGTAAAGGACCACTAAGTCAAATAAGGTACAGGAGCATGTCATATGAGGAAAGGCTGAGAGCACTGGAATTGTTCAACCTGAAGAGAAGGCTCAGGGGGATCTCATCAATGTGTACAACAATGTGAAGAAAGAGTGCCAAGAAAATGGAGCCAGACACTTTTCAAGTGGTGCCCAGCAGCAGACTGAACAAGAAACTGAGAACAAGCAAACACAGGTAGTTCCCTGTCAGGAAGAAGTTTTTTTTTTCTGTGAGGGTGACTGAGAGCTAGTACATATTGCCCAGGGAGATTGTGGGCTCCATTCTTGAAGATATTCAAAAGCTGTCTGGTCCTAACTGGCTTTGGATGACTCTGCTTGGCCCAGGGGGTGGCACTTCCAGACCTGCCCTCCAACCTCAGCTATCCTGTGATGTGTTATTTCTATTACACCCAGATCTACCACGCACGGGCTAAGGTGATAAACTTCAGATAACAAAAATGGTATTTTTGCAAATACATGACTGCTCAGTTACGTGGCTGTTTGGAAGTGCAAATGCATTTTCAGTCACAAGAAAACTCAGTAAATTCATAATCTGATGGCCTATCTGCTCCCCTCACCTAGTGCTACAACCCTATGGTGAAAATATCCCTATGAAAGCAACGTACACTGTCAAATTAAATAGGTGATAAAAATAGGAAATAAAAGCAGATAGCTTTTTTTTTTATATATATACATATAGTGATCCACATTTGCCTCTATGTATGATGTTAATACTTCTTATGTTCAAACATAGATTGCACATCAACATTAATGGAAGTTATATATCCATACACCATACACATCAGGGAGTGAATAAACCTCTTGGTTACTAAAGGCAGTTTCATAAAGAAGCAATGAAATTTTAGCTAATACATAGTGATGGTATTCCCAGAAATGCTGAATTTTGGATATAGTAAATGTTATTTGATTTCAGTGTCCGGGAAGTAAGGTATTAAGATATTGTGCCAAAGGCCTTCATAGGAAAAGAGGGGCCAATAACAACATGTGTCTGATCTTTAAGATCCTTAGAGAACAGTAACACCCTGAACAGGTGCAAATCAAGTTTTCAGTTAATAATTAATATGCATGGAATATTAACAATAAAAATTTTAGAAGTACACGAAAACCTTTAGCATCCTAGGTGTTATTTGAATTAATCTGTTCACTCTTGGAATGCAATTACTCTCTTTATGCTAATAAATTTTTTCACATCATTGTTATATCATAAATATACCGCATTAGATTCTCTTCATTTTCTTGTTCTAAATATGCAATTAAAGCATAATTACTCTGCAGTTGCAGACTTTTTAATTTAAATTAGTGAGTGGCTGCTGTAAATTGGCTGTAATTGTATGTGGACTCACTTGTTTCATTTTAACACAACAATATATAATTAAATGCACCTGAAGATTTCCACATTATTCCGCTCACTAAATGTTCTGAACAAACTCAGTCTTTAGGTAAAACATTTTTTCCAGGGTAATACAGAATGGAGACTAAAAGATCTCATGACACCACCTTAGAAAAGCTACCAGCCTCAAGAGATTTTTCTGGACAATCTGCATTCTGGTGCTGCTCACAATGGGTGAAAAATATCCTCACTTGTGAAATCCACACAGTGGATGAATACAGCAGATAATATTGTTTATCTCATTAGAATAGATTCTCAATAAAAACCAAGTCTGATATTTTTACTCAGGACTTTCTTCTGCCTTAGAACAGGGAGGAAGAAAAATCAAGACTATAGGATGTAAAGAATGGCTGAGGGAATATTCCCTGAATAGTAAAGCACTTCTCTCTAAATTCAGGCACCTGAGCACCAAAGTTACAGAACCACAGCTGGGTATAGTAAAAGTCTTCTATTTCTTCAGACAAACAAATATATCACAAATCATTATCTAACTACAGAATAGCTTCTACATTCAAAATTAGGCATATAAATAGTTATTATATAATAATGCTAGAATAAAATATATAACAATATATGGTATATTGAAATTAAGTGTATGCTGGGAAGTTTCATAACATAAATTGTACATTACTATTTTTTGACTGGCAGCTTTTTGAATTTTTTTCTGTGTTTATCATAAACCATACATAAAATCCATATTGAAAACTGACTCCTGTGTTTGCAAAGTCAGGCACTTGAAAGTTTGCAACTTGCCTTTTTATATGTCTCCTTGCAATTTAATTCTCTCTCTTTTCCATCATGCACAGTAAAGAAGCGACTTTAGTACATGAGGAGAGTTGGAGGGAAGACAGGACTATGTATCAATGCAAATGCAGAAAAGATAAAATTTTTGGGCTAATGCTTCTTGCCTCGACAGATGACTCAACATGGATGGACCCTCTGATCTAGGTTTTCTCCAAAGACACATAAAGTATTTAATAGAGGAATTTTTTCTTTTTAATTAGAACTGTCCCACCAACCATATAGGATTGTGTGTGGTCATAGATCATGTCATCTAAGCATAGTCAGGCTTTTTCCTTTCTTTTCCTTTTTTCCTGGGATACATAAGATGCAGAAAGGAAATTATTTTTTGTGGAAGCAATTAATAGCACACCCTGAGCTAAGGGGAATTTCATGAGCCAAAGTCATCTTGGCACCACTTCCATTTTTCTCTAAAATATTAAATGCCTATGGGAAACAAAAATGATACAGGGATTTCAAGCAAAAATAAAAGAGTTCTAATAAATTTATTTAATGACTAACATGAGATAAGCTAAATACAGGGAATGACAAAAGCCATAAGGAATGGCTTGAAGAAATACGTAGCAATGGATTGTCCTCCAAGTCATGGAGAAAAAACAGAGATACCATACCAAAACAGCCTTTGTTTGTATGCAGTATATTTCTTTCCATTTTGTGTCCTTATTGTGGTATTCTTTCTTAGACTCTATGCAAAACACCACAAAAAATCTAATAAAATTATGAACAAAGTGGTTCTTTAGTAAACCTTTCCTAAAAAGGAATGAACTTGTGAGGACTGGATCTTTTTTTTTTATCTATAACACAAATAATTTTGTTGTGGTAGTAAGAACTTTATATATTTATATATTAATATAAATATTACAGTGTAGAAACAGCCCCTATAACCAGAAACAAACATCTGCCAGAACATTTTTTCCACTCATGCCCTCTGAGAACGAGGTTGAGGTTAGAAATTAATCTTTTGAATGGATGGAAGCACACTATTTCCTGAAACTTTATAATCCATACAGGGTTTTCCATGAGCTATCATTCATACATGGCTTGTGAATGCAAGTGCCAATTTGCATTGCCACTTGTGCATGCTCATTCACTGAAATAGTTCAACTTGTAGGCTTGGACAATGCTTCTGTTCTAATATTACTATCTTGTACCAGTGATAATCCAAAGTACTTTCCAAATGTTAACAAAAGACAGGTTCACAATTTCCTCACAGATGGATAATCCTGAAATTAATATTCCAATGAACTGGGGAAAGCGGACAAAAAAATGTTAAGGACCTTTCTGGAATAGGGCTCCTATACACATAGGCTCTTTATGGTAGGTAGGTGAGGATTTGCATCTTTACTGCTAAATAACTAAGTTTCTGGAGGCAGGAGGAACCGTTTCAGAAACCTGAGAAATGAAGCTGACTCAAGCACATTTCAGGGGAGCTGCAAGAGAGAACCATTCCTTCGGGCACAGGCCCTTAGTTGACTTGGGCTAATGACAAAAGGCAAAATTTGAGTCCCTTGTGAGCAGTTTGGAAAAGAGATATTTAATGATAACTACACAGATTCAATTACCTACAGAGAAGTTTATGTATTGGAAGACACTTCTTAAAGTCATCTAATGTTTCATTCCTGTTTTTAAAATTTTGACCCTACCTAACTTTTTATTTAAGAACTCAAGAGCTTGAAATTGCTCCCTTAGTTTTATTTTAGGCACTGCAGTATGAAAAGTATTAATCTAAACATATTCCCAAGCCTGTTAAGTGATTTAGAATTCTAGATCCTCACACTTGTCCTTCAGGACCTATGACAAGCTCATTTTATTAATTAAAAAGAGTATTTCCCAGACCATGACCCAAAAGGTTCTCAGGTCTTTGATAACCATGAGGCTCTAAAACCTTATAATTCTTTCATATTTTTATTGCATAGTGACTAATTAGAATTGCACTTGTGATAGTTCCTGTGCTTAGGACTTCCATTATAGAGACACAAACATTTCAAAAACTCATTTCATGCAATGCCATTTGAAATAGAACTCTGTGCTCCTTTATTTCCCACTGCTCTTAAGGATTTCAGCAGGAAATTTTTGGTGGTAAAGTGAAGATCTAGACAATCAGTGTTAAATTTAATTGAAACTAAAAGGCTTTAGAAATCTTTCACATATAAAGTGAGCTTTCCAATTACTTCAAATAGTCTGAAAGGTAGGACTAGGAAAGTAGGTAATGGAAAATTACCTCAGAGCATGGCATATATTCCTGTAAAAGATAAAGGTCTTCATCTTTAACACAGCTTTAAGATAGACAACTTCTAGCCTATCTTAGGAATATAATGGAAATACTCATTTCTTAGTTTTTTCTAAAATTTAAGTAATTCAGTATGGGATGCTGAGGTTTCAACTACAAGTGCCACACCAGACTGAATGTATTAAGATGGACTTCTCTTCCAAGTGCTGTTATCCAGAGCGTCTCTTGTTTTCCCATGAGAGTGAGTAATTTAAGTTTACCAACTGGGTCTATCTTTGATAGTAGAGTGTGTGAAGAAACATATTTTAAAACTCCCAGAATCATCTAGGGCTCTTGAGGCTGCTCAGGAGCACAATCAGAGTCTCTCCAACCACCCTCCAGGAACGCTGCCCAAATAAGCTGCAATTCTTTAATGTCTGCAGCAAACTAAGCAACTACAATGAGAAGTAAGGTACAACAACTCCTGTTAATACTATGTAAACCTGTATTTGTACACACCTGCTGCTCTGTGAGTAATAAACCGGGGCTGGAACTCAGTTTCTGGAGTGGTTTATTCTTTATTCCTCAACGAACGTTCTGGCCCTTCCTTAGAATCCGACCAAGACTAGGATTCATCACAACTAGTGCTCCAACGTGGAGCCAGAATATTTTTTGTGTGTGGAAAAACAAAAATTGTCATCAGGCACAGCAGAAACCTCCTTTCTCTACTTCTCCATTCGGACTTGAGGAGTTTTACACGTTTGCCTAAGAAACAAACACATGTCAAGTACTACACTGTTATGAAATTAGTTACAGAAAACAAAACTGGGATAGTTGGAATATTTTTTAAAATTACAAGGAAAAATACAAAGCGACAAGAAAAGCACATTTCAGAATCTGAGAAAATTCTCTTAGGAAAAGTGCATGGTCTTCAAAATACTCAATTTCAAACTGAAAAGCAATAGAAACAAATAGATTACACTCATTTTTTGATAGTATATCAGCAACATTTAAGTATGACAAAAGAGTAAGTGAAAAGTTCTTTGAGAATAAGTCCATGCATAGACCTGTGGTACGGAAAGGAGTCATGAAGTCAGAAGACAATTCCTTCAAAATGAAACATTTGAGTGTGTTCTTCTCATATTTGTTTAAAGTAAAAAAAAAATAAAAAAATTAGAAGGTTACAGGAAACAACATAAAATAACAGATGACACATTACACATTTCAAAAGACAATATTCAGTTCAGACAGATAGTTCTTTATCTAGATATTTGACACAGATTTTGGACCTGCCAATAATGATTGCTTCTGAAAAGTGATACACAGCATCTCAAAAAAATCACCAAAATTTATTTAAGTTTTCTTCTTTTGTTTTCTTAACATATTTAACCTAAATATTATGCTGCAGTTCATTGGAAATATACAAGACTAAACTCAAAACTTCAATAATTTCTTGCTTAAATAAAATCTCTAGGTATTTGAATACTATGAAACAATTATCATCCTGTGTTCATATTTCCTTGAAGTGGATAGTTTACAAAATAAAATTAGTTGGTGCAATTCACTGGGACAATTATGATAGTGAATAGCTGATGAAGACATACAAGTTACATCAAGGCTAAATCCAATTCATTACCCTTTCCTATGTACTCATTATTACCGTCTTCCAAAAGGTTTTGCCAGTGCATTGAGCCTAGTCTAGTTTTCTCAATGTTTCTGTAACTTGGTAGAGAACTGAGTTTATGGTAGAATTATTTTAACTTAACACAGTGTTTCATTTAAAGACAACAGTTTTATATTAAAAGAAGACTTAAACATAAACCTTATTTAACTTTCTGTAACAGATAATAACTGCAGCAATTCAGACAAGGATATATCCTCTTGAGCTTTTTATGGTGATCACAGCTCCATAGTGGGACTGCAGCATGGCGGCATGAAAGACTGCAAGACAATTAATTACATAAGTGTAATTTTTTTCCTCTTCTACAACACTTATCCCACCTAATCATACCAAGTGGGAGATAAAAACAACCTCTTTCCTTTCAATATATGAGGAAACTGGAGCATAATAAAGAGTCATGCTACCCTTTCAAATGTCAGGAAGCAAGTGGAAATGGAGAGATGGGAACAGGATCCTGTTTTAGCTTTATCTGACTTCACTTACCTATAGAAAAGGTTTGGTTTTGATTGGAAAGGGAAACCTATAAGAAGCAGTCTCCTGTGTTTACATTCTAAATAAGAAAAAGCAAAACAAATTTTAAAAACCCAAACCCAGCCTTGTTTTAAAATTAGACTGAAGTTTTAAATTGTCTAAGTGGCATAAAGGATTTTCATCTTTTAATATATTTTTCGAGAAAGGGGGTCAGACTGAGCTTCCAATTATCCCCACTAAAAAAAAAAAAAATCAGGTAGTCTAATTTTTCTAATCAAGTATCTTTTTCTTCTTCTAATTTTATGTTGTAGGGCTTTTCCTGGTATTTTGAGTGGAGAGTAATAGGCCATTTTGGACAAGTTCAAAACAGAAATGTAAATGATTTCCTTACCTGTAATTTTATCTTCACTATAAGAGTACCTGCTGTTCTGTTAGTGCGGTACTGATGTGTTTTCTGCCTTTGTCACAAGCTTCAGAGATTCCTCTGGTGATTTTTTCCCCACTTGTTTACCAGCTTCCACTGCTGGCATTTTGAGGAAGTGCACTCACATTTGGCTCCAGGAATACTGCCATAGCTGAGGGAATATAAGACAACTAAAAAACAAGTTAGAAAACAGCAGAACCAATATCCAGGACGGAAAAAATATTTTAAAACAATGAATCAGTCATCAGCTTGAATTTCTTTGATCATTTTCGTTTCTCTTTTCATACATTTAGAATTTCCACACAAAGAAAAGACTTTCCTGTGGTTGGAATTTTGGCTTAAAAAATGGGTACTGACAAAGTAGTGGGTACCCATTCAGAGAATATAAAATTATTTTCAAGAAGTTTAATTTTAACCTTCTTCTGTATGAGTACCCATCATGCCATCACTCCAATACAGATAAGAAAGAGAAGAAAGGTGGCAGATTTGGAGGATTTCAGAATGTCTGATGTCTTTTCTCAAGTCCTAATAGAAGTGAAAAAGGAAGACTTGAGGGCTTTTCACCCAGAGACTCTCACAGATGAATATAGATGGGCATGAACTCATTGCCCAGGAAAACAACACATAAAGTCTCTTTCACTAAGACATAGTCAAGATTATGGTTTCTGATTCACAATAGTTGTAGTCATCTTGGTCAAAGATGAAAAGAACAAGTACTGTCAGTTTAATAAGTAAATGTTTTCTTGCTTGAACATTATGGAGACATCCAGGTGAAAGTTACACTTTAGAACACCTGTGTACTCAGGATCATCTGGATACTATTTAAGAACTTCACACTACAGCAAAAAGAAGTATTCTGTCAAAGCTAAAAGTGAATGCTACGAGTTTTAACTAAGAACCTACTGTGGTATTCAATTTAATTTGTCTTCCTTATAGAAACCTGTCCAGTTGTCCCCATATATGCATCTTCTCATTATCTTCTAAATAGAATGTGGCCTAAGACAAAGTTGGTATGAATAAATTAAAGTAAATAATTGCAATTAGACTCTGGAATTCTAAAACCTCATGTAATGAAGGAAAGAACAAAAGGCTCAGAAGAGGTCATTGCCTTCAAATTTCAGGAATGTAATTCCACAATGATGTGTTTTAAGGTCACAAGAAAGAAAAAGGACTCTAGCAATTTCCTGAATGACCTTCTAAAAAGTAATTGGCTTTCCAAGTTATAGGCTTCAAATCTGTCAAGTTGCATTCTAGAAGAATGTCTCCTCTTCCTTTTCTGTACTTTGCGGATGATGAACAATAATTATTAGCAAGTGGAATTGGAATGATGCCTTAAAAATGTGAAATTTGCATCTTCCAAAGTCTCTCTGAAAAGCTGACAAGGCATCAGGATAGAGAGATCTCCAATTTAAAGAGCAACTAATCTGATTTTGGAGTGCATTTGCCTGAATTAGAAACAGCATGAGCAGTGATGAAGTCCTTTGGTCTTCCTTTGGCAGGAACATGTTCCTAAGCCACAAATTCAGGATATTCAGGAATAATAGGATTGAATTCAGGATAAAGAAACAAGTTCTTCTGGCTGGCATCAGTAATTTATCTTCTGACATTCTTCAACCTGAAGAGACTAAAGTGCAGCTCTATTAAAATTCTGATATCTATAACGACTGAGTCTGTAGATACATGTTGATCAGACCACTTAAGAGTTGCATGGCATTCATCACTGCAGATATGGAAGGTGATGGATGATAATCAGGACTGTAAGATCAGAGAAGGGATCATCTGTGTATTCTAATAATGCAGTAGAAGAAAGCTCAGAGTCCATTTTATAGAACATGGACAGTCTTTTGGAGTCTTTTCTCTAAACACAGCAGTAGTGTCTTTCCTGAAATTGACTTGGTGCTCACCAGGGTGGTAGAAGGAGTAAACTACAAGTCATGAAAAAAAGAAGGAATTTTGAAATTCTCATAGAAATTATGTTGGTTGTTAATTTATTAACAATTTAGTAATTTATAGGCAGCAATCTTCCGCTTACTCCTGCCTGAATTTTTTCTTCATTTAGAAGAGTTTTCACAAAGAATGGGACTATCTTCATAGAGATAGTTAAGAATTACAGTATTCACTTTTCTACGCAAGGGAATAATATCTGAGTAATCTGATTTCAACTGGTTTGAGAGTTGTTCACTCTTCCAACAGTGACTGTGTAGGCTCAGAATGTTCTGTACATCTGACTCTCCACTTCATAGTGATTATTATTCATTTCCTTCCCTATAAGAAGGCAGAAAAGCAGAGCAGTGCCAAGGGGGTGTTTCTGATGTTTTCTATAATCAGTCCTAATGAGTAAGGAAATAAGAGGAAGAAAGCTATGTTATTTTGAAGAATTGAAAGCACTGCCTTTTGAACAATTGAGGGCCAGTCTTTCCCTCCCTCATACATTACTGCAGCTAAGCAGTGATACAGAGTTTGTGAAGCCTGTGCCAAATACCCAGGGAAAGAGGAGAAAATTCTGCCTGCAGCTATTTAGGCAGCAGATAATGTGAGGTTTCAGAATAGCCTGGTCTCTCTGACCAGAAATGTATCATTTCTGACTAGCAGAAATGATCCAAAGAAGTCTCTACAGACTAAAAAAGGAGGGTGAGACAAGGAAGAAGCACTACTTTTAGAGGATGCCAGCATGACTCACATGATACTGGCATTTGAATATCATCTTGTGCATTAATTTCTGAGATATTAGAAGCTGACAAAAATTTTCCAAGAAAATTAAAAAAGACTACTAGATATTCAAAGAGCCCTTCTTGCACAACTGTGAATGGCAAAGAGACTGGCAGAATGAAGCTGCAAATGGAAGTGGAGACACCTTTGATTTTTGTGTCAGGATGCTGGAAAAGTGGAAATTCATGGGGAAGTGAAGAAAGCCAGTCATTAACAAACAGCCTTAAGAAATTGTTCTTCTTTTCCATCACGGAGGCAGAAAATTATTCTTCAGACATGAGGTCAATATCTCAAACATGCCAGCAAAGGACAAGGCAGAAGAATAAATAAAGTAAATCACAAGTTGAATCTTTTGGGACAAAGGCAGAAAACATCTTGGCTGGACAGGTGAATTGGAGGATTTGCACATGAAAGAAAGCAATGGTTGCGAAAATCACTGATTAGTAATTAATGACATACAACTAATTTGCATTTCTCTTTAAATATTGCAGAAATAGTTTCCTTTGATTGCAGCATAATTCTGTCGAGGTTCAGGTTCTGGAGAAGCTAAAATGGTGCTTTACAGTGTATCCTAGCTGCAGTCTTACCTATTCCCTGATAAAAATGCATAAACTACAGCATATATAGTGCAGATGTAGTGCAGCTATGCTGTGAGTGTGATGAAGAGACTGCAAAAGGTTTCATTTCTCATTATTTTTACAGTGTGTCTATTCACAAAAAAAAAAAAAAAATTATATTGCACCTCCTGAATAGCTTGAGACCAGACTCGGTGTCTTCACAGGGAGATACAGCAAGGTAATGTATAATCAGGTTCCCTCTTTTCAAAAGACCTGTACCTGTGAATATTGCCTTTATCTCATTCTCTCTTTTTGATATTACTCACTTTGATTCTTCATTTCAGTATCCATAGGTCTCAAAGTCAGAACAGAACTAAACAAAATTTGAAACTTTTGAAAATTTTGAAATTTGACATTTTGAAAAAGTCTTGGGATTTGAATGCTTGGATTATCCTCATCTGCCCCAAAAGTTTTACTGACCTTTCAGTCTATGACTTTGCTATAGCATTTCACATCACAGTACTTCTTCCTTTAATCCATTATTCCATAACTAGTCTTTTGTAGATATTTTAGAGTACATTTGCTCTTGGGGAAAGGACCATGACACGTCTAGATTTCTGAGACCACAGAGGAACCATCATCAAGCTGTGGGCCTAGACTCCTGCCAAATGGAGACTCACAGTCCCATCCTATTACATAGGATAGAACTAGGCACACAACTTCACATTAACCAAGCAAATTTGGTATATAAAGGCTACTTTTAGGAAAATCAGTAAATTGTATATCCCTGAATACTGATGATTCTTTTTAACATGTGTTGGCTGGCATGCTAACTATTTCCATCAAAATGTCCAATTGTCCCAAAAGATTAGTGTTTAGGTGCCCTACAAAAAAAATACAAATCTTCAAAATGACAGAACTGCGGTGGTAGATCAAAACAATAATTACTGTAATATAAAAGTCCAGCTTGATCCTAGAAAATATCATCATATTTCCATTACCAGCTTATTTGTCCCTTAAAAATTGTATTTATTCTTAGAAAATATGTGTATACCATTTACTGCTATTTTAATGACAGATTAGATACAGTGGTCTCTGAGTTAGCAATGAGAAACATGCTGAGACAGCTGCAAATTTCTCCTAGTGACAGATTAGCCAAAGGCATGGAAAGAGATACCATAGCAACAAAGAGGCTGTCACAAGTGCAATCACTCTTTTCCATGGGTAATATTTTGCTACAGTCTGTGTGCTCACTTATATTGTAATCACATCATTTTTATGAACCACCAGGTATTGCTGGTCACTGTATATATGTACATTATTCCCATAAATCTTCATTTGAAATTAAAGTAGGAGCTGAGGAGTCTATACAGAGGCTCTGAAGTGAGGCAGAGGAACAAAGTAGTTTTACAGTAAGGTGGTTTCTTCAATTATATAGCCCCTTACATAATATTAGGAAAAGGACTTCCTGTACCTGACACATGGCAGATCACTGATCCATCCTACCATTATTTCAAATTTCTCAGTGGTCAAAACAAAAGGCAAATTTTTTTATGTCATGTAAGTTAGTAGCAGTTTTACACTGCAAAACATCATGTATATGTACAATGTGGTGTGAGAAATACACTGCTTTCTTAGCACTCACTGACCACAACTACCATATATCATACCTATCACAAACATCCTGGAATAACTTGTACATAATATTTAGATGATTAATTTCTGCTTTCTCTAATTCCATTTCATTATTACTGCTGTTTCTGAAAAGCCTAGAAGAGGAAGAGGAACGAAGACAAGAGGGAAGATGCTACCCACCACATATTTAACTTTGGCAGAAAAAACAGTAACACTTAAAGAGCCTATGGATCTGTTGCTTGTGTGAAAT